GTCTCACAACAGCCCTTTGCATTGCTGACTTCCCTGTTCCGGTGTGTTCTATCATTTTTTGGTTTGTACATGCAAAACCAAAAGCTGGGCTTAAAAACTTGTCACAGCATGTCTGAAGAATAGTTTACCGACCTACAGACCTGCTTTGAGACCATTTGTAGTCAATAACCTACAAAAATTCACTTTTGCAGTCAGATGAGATGAACTTTAACTCGTTCAGCTTGTGTGGATTTGTCTGGCATCTCTTTTGATGATGTGTGGAAACGCTACTCATTAAATGAGTTCTTCTAGCCCTAAACTGCTGTTCTCCACTTCCTAGACGTGCCCTGTAATTGCTTGGGCTGAGAGTGGTTCCTGTTTCACCGCTGTGAAGCCTCCTGTCTGCAGGGGTTGGAGGCTGGAGCTGTGGGAACGCTGGGTTTGGAAGGCTCATCCCGCAGGGATCCCTGCTGGGTGTGAGCAGTGGAGACTGCAATGGAATGGGAGACACAGAGCTGTTGGTGTTGCACTGTTATCCTGAGGGAGGGTTTCTCTGCCGTGGCAGCGTGTACCCCATTCCCAAAGCCCTGGTGCCCCATTCCCAAAGCCCTGGTGCCGTGGAGCATCCCAGCCGGGCAGGGCGGGCGGGGGGCACGGGACTGCAGCCTGGGAGAGGGCTTTTGTGTGAGGGGAAAAGACACACAACCTGCAAGGGGGCAAGGACAATTTATTCACGTCTTCCTGAACTCATTCTTCACTCTGGTTTTCCTTTGGGAGGGTGGCACCTGGTAGACTAGGAATTTTCACAAAATAACAGGGATTTCATATATCTGTTTGTGAGCACACCTGGATGTGTTGGATATTTTGCAGTAGTAATTATGTCTGCACACCTGCTGGTTTCAATCCCAAAACAGTTTGCCAGACATGCCTAGAGAGATTTATTTCTCCTATACCTGAAAAAACTCTTTTACCACTGAGTTTTTACTACTCTAAATAAGCCTAAAGAAAAAAAAAAAGAGGATTTTTTTCTTGTCTTTGCTTGAGCCGTTGGTATCTCAAACTGAACTGTGGAGTTTGTTAGGGGGAGGAGGGTGTTTGGATGATATTTTAATAGCAATTTGTTTTTGCTTCAATGTGTGATAGAAATACAAGTGACAGGAGTGGGAACAGGAGAGTTGCTGAATTCTGCTGGAATTTTTCCTGTGGGAATCTGTTAATGTTTTTAATTCTCTGAGAGATTTTTCTAAGGTAATCCTTTTGACATTTACATATTTTAAATGACTCTCATTAAATAAAAGCTTAACTTTTTTATATCAAATGCTGAAGTGATGATACTGGAATACCACTGCATAGAAATTCAAATGGTTTGAGGATTATTCTAATTGCAACCTAAGCAAAGTAAGATTTGTGAGGGATATTAGTAGAGAATTGTTCTCTAAAGTAACGTAGGTTTAAAGGAAGTTTGATTGTTCTGGCATTTAGCAGATGCATTTTTTAGACCAAACCCTTTTTGGTTTTAGTGCACGGTGCACTTGGCTGTTTGCTAATTGAAGCCCTCGTTTGGACAAGCGTGGCTTCCACTCCTCACTCGTGGAGCAAATGTGAGCTGTGCAGGAGCCCCGGGCTGGGCACCCTGTAACAGTCCTTGTCCCTGTCTGTGTGCCCAGGGGCGGCTCAGCCCCTGCAGGAGGGTGCTGAGACAGGCAGGGAGGGCTGGAGGAAATAAGAAGTGGAACATCTTTTCAAAAGAAAGAGCGGGATGGTGAGTGTTGCATCTCTTGCAGGGGACACCCTCTTGCAAGCAAATACTGCCATAAGAAAATGATTCCTGTATTCATGTCTTTGAACTCCTTTCCCAGGAGGCAGGAGGCACAGCATGAGGAGATCTCTGGGACATACATACAGTGTAGCCCTTTTAAAACATACAGTGTAGCCCTGCTTTTAAATGAACTTTCCTCTGTAGGTTGCACTTCGCTTGTTCAAGCCCTTGAGCCAGAATTTGCTCTCAGACCAGACTAAATACTAAGCAAATTCATTTAATTAAATTTGTTGCAGATATCCTCAGTTAAGAAGAACAGATTGGTCTCCCTGAGGCTAGATGGCATTAACAAGAAAATAAATGTTGTGCTAATTAGAGAACTCATTTTCAGACACCTGGGGTGAAACTTTAAAAAGTCCTAGAGATGTAGGATTGAAAATTCATTTGGAAATGAGTCTTAGGCTTCTAAATCACTTAGGCACTTCTGAAAAATTTACCCAGAGGCTTTAACCATCTCACAATCGTCATATTTAGCATGTTTGTAGCTGTCTGCTCAGCAAAGCACAGTGTAACCATTATCTGTTCGTATCAGTGCACCACAAGGTAGTTCATTATCCCTGGAAGTAAGGGAGAGACTGAGCTACCTGCTGAGCTGAAGGTAGGCTGAATATCATTGTTTTGAGGATGCTGTGTGTCAACGGGAACAGACTGGTGCTTTCTTGGAGTCGTTAAAGCACTGGTCCACTAAATGTCCATCTATTTGCAACCTCATGGGACTTTCTGTACCTAAGAACTTTTAATTAAATCTTGGTCTTTAGTGACTTGTCCAAGCTCCTGGATAAAGACAGCACAGATGCAATTTTATAGTTCAGCACTTGCTGGAAGGAAAATGAGACGCTTAATACTGTCACACTGCCATTCCTCTGCCAGATCTTGATAGGAAGTAATAAGGAGTCATAAGCTCAATAAAAATTAGGTTTAATATTAAGCCAAATTTCCAGATTCACATATATGATTAGCAGAAAAGTAAGGAAAGAACCAGGCTCCAAAGAGCAAAAAGTCCCTTTATTTGCTTACAGCTCAGAAGTATGTTTTCAGTAGTTGGTTTTTTCTCTTGTAACCGGTCTGAGGATTGTTCTGAACCCTCCTCCTTGTAAAGATATGCATTAGTAGCGTCTGTTTGATGCCAGGTAAAGCCTTCCCACAGCCACGCACACACTGCTGTCTGTCAGCAGAAACCTGTGTGTGGGTAATTAGAAAAACGCTGTTAAAAGCCTGCCTTGTAATCCCAGCTGGCCCCTGGGCTGGCTCGGCTCTGCCTCGTGCTGAGCACAGGGAGTGCTGCACCCTCGGACCAGCCCCCAGCTCCTCACACTGACAGGGCTCCACAAAGGGGGGCTGAGGGCACCAGCACACAGCTGGGGTGCCCAGAGAGGGACCCCTGGGCACAGAATCCTCACTCTCACAGGTTTGTAACCCAGGGTACAGGTGTAACATGTACAGCAGGGTACAGATGGGCACCCAGGAGCTGGATCTCGCCATGGGGCCAACCTGTACATCGTGTAATGCCTGTCAGGAGTCTGGATCAGCCGACAGCATCATAAAACAGATGAGTCAGGGCCCTAAAACACGGAGGGGATCCACTGAGCTCATCATTTTCATACCTAATTACACAGTGCTATTGAGAGAGAACTGCACATTATGCTGCACATTACGTTTCATCACTAGTTCTAAAAGATAATTGCATTTAATTAGGACCTATAGATACCATGGTGATTACTGATCTATAAACACTCAAGGTAGACCTGCAAATGAGGTGCAGCAGCAAGTGCATCCACTGAACACGATTCAAAAGTGATGCTGAGGGGCAATGACGAACAGTTGAGTTGTTTTACGTGGAACTTGTAGCTCTAGTGCTCTGTTCTGATTCACTGCAATCCCTCTGCTGTGAGCCAGCAGGCAGACAAACACCTGCTGATCTTCCTTACCGAATTTAGCAAAATTTTTGTCTAATCTGGGGTAATATATGCATGAGTAGGCAAAAGTGACAAGAGTTGACATCTGTAGTGGCAAAAGATGACCTTTTCTGTGTGAAGTCTGGTCAGAAATGAAGAAGCAAACATAAAGCATAGCTAGTAATGCCACAGATAAGGCAGTAAACACTTTTCATGGTGAATATATTTTTTGTAATGGACATTATAACGCATTTTCCAATGAATTGCAAATTGCAGTTCCAGTCAAAGAAGCTGCTGGTTCCCTTGTCCCAGCACAGGTCTGGAGGGTCATTTGCAGCAAGTCAGAGCACAGAGAAGTCATTCTCATCCTTCTCTGGTGCTTGTGCAGAGCTGCCTGTGCAGGTGTTCTGTGACTGGAAATACCTGGTGAGGGTGCCAGGGAGAGCTGCCTGTGGGAATGGCACGGGCTGGGCCTGTGGGAATGGCACGGGCTGTCCCTGGGAGCTCATCAGGAACTGTCCTTTGTGTTTCCCTCACGGGACAGGGCAGCTCCTTCCCCAAACACCAGTCCTGTTCTGTGCTGAGCCCGACCACCTTTGAACCGATGACATGAAGCTGAAGGTATCCATCCCTTTTGATCCTTTAGGGAATACAAACTGCTTGGAATAAAATGTTTAACACAGTAGTCACTGAGTGTGAAATACTGCATTTCTTTTTTCCTGTAACCATGCTTGGAACCAAAAATTCAAACACTCAAGAGTAATGGAATTCTTGTGTGCACCAGAACTCCAGTCTCATCAGAAATCCTTTGCAGTTGATATGTTCACTGCAGTGCTTTTCTGGAAACGGTTGTGAGGGGAAACACACAAGTAGTATTTTTATGGGGAGGAAGGGGAAAGACTTAGCCAAGGGGCTAAAGGGAATGATGAATTGGTTGCCCACTGAAATTATGGGTATCCAGTTTCTTGTGTTGTGTGGCTCTTGCCCTTTGCAGTGGGGAGAACAGGTGACCAATTTTGTATTTCCAAGAGTGTGAGGGGTGTGCGTGTGGCCAGCTCAGCACCTCCCTGACAGAGCAGTGCAGCAAAGAGCAGGCTGGACACTGCTTCACAGCTGCTGTTCAGAGGAAATGCTTTACCCTGAGCTGTGTGGCAAATAGAAATAACATTCAGTAATGATAATTCAAAGAGCAAAGGGACCAGGAAAAGCAACATCCTGCTCAGAATATATTCAAAGTTGTCATTTCACTTTACCTTTCATTTTGCCTTCCCCTCACTAATATCTGTGTCTTCTTCTCACCCCCACAGTTCATTGCTGGGATGGCTCTGCCACCTCCAGATCCCCAGTTTGTGCTCAGAGGTACCAGTGCTGCCATCCACACTCTGCACTTCTCCTGTGGAGGCCAAGAACCCGATCCCCCTGTTCTGTTCTCTGGGTAAGGAAACCTGGATTTCTGGCTGCTCTGAGTGTGCTCGTTTCCTTTTAGAACAAGTGTATTCTTTTGACAAAGTGTGTCTGGAGAAAACAGCAAGGTGTGGTTGTGAATGATGGGTGTGCTGTCTGTGCACACACCTTCAGTTTTGGAAACAAAACGAAAAGGAAAAGCATCAGACTGAATGCAGTGGTGACACTAAAACCATCTGTTCCTATTGCCAGCTCTGAGAACGGGCTCATCCATGTCTGGAACCTGAAAACACACAGAGTGGACACAGCACTGGATGGCCATGGACGAAAATCTGTCTACTGTGTGGAGACAATGGGTGGTAAAGACAGACTCCTCAGGTGAGCAAAGCAGAGGAGAACCAGGGAAATAGTTCTTGTCTCTGGGATGGACACGACTGAAGGGAAAAAAGTCTTGTAATTCTGGAGTCACTGAAAGTCTCCCCAACACGTGGAAATGCACTGAAGTACAAAAATACAGAGAAACTCTAGAATGAAAAGTGGGGGGAAAATAGAAATTATTCTTTATTATGTGAATGTTATGACATCACAACTTGGGATCCACAGTGCCTTTATCACTGCACTGAGATCAGGGGCAGTGTTTGGGTAAAGGAAATACATTTGGATTAGAAGTTGACAAACCTTTCACAGCTGGTTCTCAGGGAATATTGATATAAAGAGTTTGTGAATAGAGGGGAGGGAGAAAAGGGAAGGAAAGAAGAGAAGAATCAGAGATGGAGAGTGGAAGACTGAAAATGAGCAAGAATGCTGAGTTTCATGCCTTTGCTTTGTTGCAAAATATCCTCTTGTTTAGCAAGGGAAGGTTGGGTAGATTTGTGTATTTTGGATTAGACAGGTGATCTAGAGTAGATGCCAAAGTGTCTGTATGATTAGGAGGTGTTCTGACATGTTTATCTAGAGAAGACATCTCATAATATACGTGGAACTCATTAGCATTTATATTTCTTATCTGCCTAGGTACAATTCTTAACACTCTTCCCCATAAAATCATATTGAATGAACATTGTTTGTATAATTATAGAGTTCTTCCATACCTCTATTTCTGCTGTATAGTTATAACAGTTCACATAGCAGGGCAATTTTAGGACAGCAGGTACCTGTATTTTGGATTTCTCTCTTCTAAAGCTAAATCACAACAATTTCTTGCAGCACCACATTGTATTCCCAGTGCTGTAAATGTTGTGTCAGCTTGTCACTCAGCTGAACAGTAGGTGGAAGTTTCTGCATTGACTGAAGAAGTCCCAACATCTGCAGATTCACATCTCCTCTGTTTTGGTTTCATACTTCATCAGGTGATCCAGTTAATTAAAGTAACACATGGAGAAGGGATTTTTGGTGACTCCTTGGCCCAGGGGTAGCATGAGGACATATGCCCTGTGCTCCTGTAGTTTATGGACTGGAAGTTTCTCCACAGCAGTACCTTGTTCCAGAGGCAGTGGGATCCCAGAACCCTGCAGCAATTCCTGCTGTGCCCTTTGGGCTCCTGGGCTGGGAGAGCCCCCGAGGGCTGTGCCCAGTCAGAGTGAGCTGCACTTGTACCTCAGGGCTCAGGGGGGTGTTTGAGCCACAGCATTCAACATTTGGTGTTTAATTGCTGCCAGTCCCTCTCCTGTCGTGTCTCCACACGTGGCAGTCCCACCAGCCCTCTCTGCCCTCCCTGTGCCTGTGGGACATTGCCCACTGAATAACTGTAGCTTTTTATTTATCTCTGACACCGTCTGTGTTGTCTTGCTGTTTGTCTTTCAGCTGTCAACACATGACATTTCCATTTCATTGCTAGGGTGAACGATGTTACACGTGTGGCTCTCTGGGTACTTTTGTTCCCTTTTAAATTAGATCTGATTAATGGTAAAATATGTGTCTTTTTATTGTGAATATGTTCAAATGCTCATGAGACTTTATAAATACATGCATACACATAAATAGCATAACTGGGCTCGCTCAAGCCTCTCTCCACATGGCAACAGCCCACTGGGACTGCAGGGTGTCTGTCTGGCTCTCGGGCCCTCCCTCCTCCCGGCCAGTTCTGCAGAAGGGACCCCGTTAATTACAGACCCCATTAACACCCCCCAGCTGCACTGAGCTCAGTGCACTCCTGCCTGGGCCAGCCTCAGTTTGAGCTGCTGCCCTGCAGGCAGAGGGCTCTGGGACCTGCAGCTCACAGATGTGTGTGTCACTGTCACAGCCAGGGTCGGGACCAGAGGATCTGCCTGTGGGATTTAGCAGAGGGCCGGACCTCGGTGACGGACTCTGTCTGCACGGAGCACGTGGGATTCTGCAGGTGCTCTCTGGTGCAGCTGGCACAGGGACGCTGGCTGATGGCCACGGCAGCCAAAGTCCTGCAGGAGGTAGGACGTGTCTCTTTTCCTGGTGCTTGGGAGGTTGCCTTTGTTACTGAAATGACATCGTTCAGGAGGGGAGCTCTCGAATTCTCTGCTCAAGAGAGGGCAGCACAAGAAATCTTTGGGTTCTAATCACTAATTTTACTGCCACAAAGACGACTGAATTCTATAACTCCTGCTCTAATGACAGGGATACCAGCCCGAGGTTTGTCTGACACTTAAGTATTTGCAGCGACTGCTGGTCTTCACATGCAGGAGTTTTGAAAACTCTTCTGGTGCTGCTGGATACTGGGAGCAGGAGTCTTTGTGGGGAACTCCTGGTCTGCAGGTCTGCCATCAGGTGGAGGTGCTCAGCTCCCCTCTGAGCAGGGGAGGGGCTCATTTGTAACGTGATCCGGGGCCTTTCACCCCGGGCTAATTCCTTCCCTGGGACTGGGGCTGGAAACAGTTGAATTACGATTAGTGGCCAGAGGTTTGCTCAGTGTGAGATAATTGCAGGGTCGGTTTCAGTTCCTACTGAAATGTCCATATCTAATACCACTGGCACTGCACTCACTGACTGACAGCTTTGTAGGCAACTTCCACTTCTGCTTTGTAGAAATCATAGCTTTGTTTTCTACAAAGGACTGTTTTGAGGACATCATATTAAAAGAAATTATTTCAAATACTTGACATCAAAATACCAAAAAAGTGGCATAAATATGAAAAGAAATATTGTAGCTCACTACAACTTGTTGATGAACATAAAAGTTCAGATGCTTTTCTGGTCTGTATCTTGAAACTAAAAGTTGCATATTTTATACACATGAAGTAATAAGTGCCTGTATTGCAAGAAAATATGAACTCTTTATTATTCAGAAGTTAAGCACATATTTAAGTACTTTGCTGGCTCACAGCCAGATTGTTCAGCCTTTCACAGCACTGAGTAAGCCTGCAGACACAACCACTGCACCAGTAAGTACAACCACCCTGTGCCATACCTTGTCTGATCAAACAAAGAACTCCCTCCATTTTGCTCAATAATGTATCAGTTAAACAAAACTGACAAGTGCATTCTGCGGTAAAAATTAAATACTCATCTGACCCAAACAGGACACCCCAGGCTCGCTCACAACTCATCCCTGGTTTGTTCTCATTTGTTTGCTTGGGCCCTGCAGGGGAGCATCATTTGCTGTCTCCTCAGGTAGAAGAGTCCCACTCTGGGTGTAGCCCTTGCACTAGAACTGTGTCACCTTTCCATAAATTCACAGGAGCTCCCATAATATACAGTCCTTCCAAATAGGCAGCACTGTGTGGGACACAGTACATTTCCAGCTTATGATTAAAATTAAGACTTAATAAGTGTTTATGCTTGGCTGGTGCCCAAAAAAAGAGTAATTTTGTCTTAAAGCAGGTTCAGTCCATAAATAATGAGATCTGAACAGGCATTTATTTGTTCATGATTGCATTTAAATCACCAATTATGAGTTACACGCATTTTTCTTGCCAATTTGCCAGAAACATGTTAAAAGCTTTATTAATGTGAAAAAGAAAAAGGGTGTGTTTCCTTGTGGCCAGTTTTAGCCACCCAGGAACACTATTAACCTCAGGCAAAGGCAAATCTTTCTTCTATTAAGCAAAACCAACATAAACACAGCACTTCAAGTTTTAGGTTACAGTTGTCAAAATATATGAAATAGTATTTATTTCTAAGGCTCAGTTACTTTTAATGCAGACAGCCTCTGGAACTGTCAGTCCAGCACAGGCAGCAGCTCAGGCCTGCCTGCCTTCTGCACAAAGCTTTGCTCACTGGGTTTTCTTTGGCCTTTGCAAGCCCAACTGTGGCCCTCGTACCAGTTCATCTGTTTTCAGTCAAGGCAGAGCGAAGGTTTTTTCCTTTTAACCTGCAGAAGTGCATTTATCACACCACACTTACCCTTCCTCATTACGTCGCAGTTGCAGTTTCAGTCTTGCCTAGGAGGCAATGCCCTTTGGAGAGACAGTGATGAAAGATGCAAGATGAGGGCAGGTCATCCTCATATTTACAGCCCATTTCCTGCCACAGCTAACTTGGTTATTATGTTGATAGCAAGAAAGTTGCCAAGAGAAAAGCATCTTTTGTTAAGAGTGTAGCTCCAAAGAACCAGAATTCCCAGCTGATGAGCCTTTGGTCTGTTCCAGGTTTGGCTGCAGACTGGATGGCTCTTGGCTGTAGTCACTGCTCCTCCAGCGTGGGGAACAGTTTCCTGCTCTGGCCCCGTGGCTCTGGGAGCGCCGTGTGTGCTGAGTGCGGGGTGTGCTGAGTGCGGGGTGTGCTGAGCGCGGGGTGTGCTGAGCACCGTGTGTGCTGAGTGCGGGGTGTGCTGAGCGCGGTGCCGCAGTCCTCGAGAGCAGCTGGCTGCTGGCAGGCTGGCTCACAGCCTCCAGAAAGAGGAAGGTGTTCTGGCAGGCTTTGAACTAAAGGGATGGGATTGGAACCATCGCAGCTGCCGTGGTCGTGATTGATGGCTCCCCGCGGAGCCGTGTTTGTGGAGCAGCTCCTCCGATGCCCCGGGAGGTTCCGCCCCGGGGCCGTCCGGCAGCGCCGCCGGGCTCCTGCCCCTTCCGAAAGGGCCCAGGACGGCCGGGTGCTCATTTACCAAGCGGTTCAAGTCGTTTAATTTTACAACATAATGCAGACCATTGTTTACTTTATTAAAAGAAAAGATCACCTTGGTGATTAGGGGTGTGTTTGAGAAACAGCCATGTTTCTGGCAGCAAGGTTTTGATACTCAAGAGCTTCTATTTCTTCATAGTTCCAGGCTTGAGAACCAGCCCAGAGATGAGGCACTGCCACGTCAGTCAAGACTCAAAACCTTCCAGTGCCAAACAGAAAAGGCAGACTCCTGATCTTGCCTGCCATCATCCTGAGGTGGAAATGAGCTTCTTCCTTGGCAGAGGAATGACTTGCTCAATGTTTTAAAAAAAATATCCAGAAAAATACTAGATCCATAATTCATTACCATCAGTGCAAGCAACAGGGGAAGCTGCTCTGTAGAGAGAGCAGGTGTTTAACACAGCATTGTCTGAGCCTGCTTTGAACAGGGTCAGACAACACTGTGTTAAAAATACCTGTGTGCTGACGGTGCTGCAGCCGGTGAGCCCAGTGAGTCTGGGCTACGCTTTGTCAGTGCAGTCGGCAGGAAATAAAACATCCTCCTGGCATACACACACTGCCTCTACTTCTGTGTTACCACAACAGCACAGAGCAGAGAATGCAAGTGTCCAGAGGGGAACACAGCCAAAAAATTAGCAACAGAGAGGGAAAAAGGAGAAAGGAAGCAGGGCTGTGTTCTCAGTTTAAGCAGTCTGCAGTATTATCTGTTGTGTGCACATGTCATCTACTGTTTGGAAAGAAGACTGTAATGCAGATGAACTGGAGGAGTGGAGAAGAGGATGTGCTCGCTCTGTTCCTAAAACAATGCACTTCTTTAGAGAGCTGGAGATTCCCCTACAGCTCCAACTTAGCATGCATTCCTCATCTTCCTGCAGACAGTTTTTACTGGAGGAGCTTATACTAACCTTAATCACCTTAAAAGACTTGTGTTTTTAAGAGCAGAATTTTGACCTGGAGCCTGACCAACTCCTCTTGTTTTCCTGATGTCAGGTTCAGGTTTTGGAGCTGCCATCCAAGACGTCAGTCTGTACCTTGAAGCCAGAGGTGGGTGCCAAGCTGGGCATGCCCATGTGTCTGAAGTTATGGCAGGTAAGGCAAGAGTGCCTGCTAATTGTGAAATGTTTTCCCTGTGATTCATTTTATATGAAGCACATGAATCTTTCTTCACTTGGATTTTGATTTATTATCAAACCAATCAAGTAATTATACTATTAAAGGGGGGAAAGATTTGTGAACATCCTTAATGTAACTTTCAGAGCTTTCCAAGCTTTAATGGAAGATTTGCAAATGCTCGGGGAAAGCTTTATATCCTTAGGATAGATACACTTTTTGCATCAATCAAGAGGAAAATGAATGACTTACCAAAGCCACTTGTTTGATATGGTTTCTCACTGCATTAAGAATGATGAGAAATGACTGGGTTGCCTGAAAACTGTGATTTTAATGGCAGATTACATTCACTTCAATGCCCTCAGGACGAGGAAGCACTCTATGAACATTTCTATTCCAGACATACAATAGGAACAAAATATTTATGGTGGTACTGACTTTGGGCAAAAAGGTAAATAAAAGCAGTTAGTGAAAAAAAATCATATTTGCAGAATATTTAGCCAATAATGTTTATGGGCTGCCAACAGTGAATGACAAGTAATAGAAAAAGGTGGCAGTAGAGGGAGGGAGGAGTTGAAGTGATTGGCTCTAAATCGCCAAAGAATTGGTGGCAAAGCTGATTCCCATTTAACCCCCTGACCACACACTGTGACAGGTCTGCAGGACCATCCACGCTGATGCCAAATGTGTAGTTCCTGCAGGCTCATCTCAACATTTGTGTTGGTTTCAGGTGAAAACATTCTCAATCATAGTTTGAGGCCTTAATGTCTTCACTCAAAGTCCTGAACCAACTGAAATCTAGAGGAATTCATTTGCTAATGTCAGACAAAAGTAGGAGAGGCCACCGTTCAAGTCCCATGCTGTAATTAAAGACTAGGAAAAAAATAGAAGGAAAATTAAATAGGCTGATTAGACTTTTATTAAACAAAGTTTCTCCTAAAAATGCAGTCAGTGTTCAGTGCTCGATGAAATGAATGGGGCTTTCTGTCTCCTGGACATTTTTTAATAAGATGGAGATAACTGAGGAAATGTTCAGTGTTGAAAATTTTGTTGCCTGTATAAGAAGTCCTCTGTCTTGCCATATTTTCTGCATGCATTAATATTGCTATTCCTCTAGGAAACAGAGCAGGTGCAGAGTCTTAATTTCATGTAGTTTTTAATTTTGTTGCCAGTGGGGATAAAGCAGAGAACTGGGAACTGGGAGAGGTAAATTATTCCATGCAGATTCTGACTCTGAGAACTCACCATAACTTCCTAGACTGCACCAGGCAAGTACAGCTAATCCCTGACAGTCTCACAGCTGTGTCTGCTCTTTTACAAATGTGTGCAACTTGGTTTGAAAGCGTGGGGAGCAGGACACCCTTAAGGGCAAATAATTCCATGTGGGGTACCAGAGTGATGCTCTGCATTCAGTTTGTGGTGGCACTGAAGTGGCCCTCTGAGCAACCCTGTCAGCACAGAAGAGCAGAGCAGGGGCTCAGCCCCTCCTGAGCAGGATCTCTGCACACACCTGGGCTGGGCAGTGCGGACGGACCCGGGGACGGGCACTCCAGGGGTTGCCTGAGAGACTGTTTGGTGTTGGTGAGGGCACAGGGAATGAACAAGTTGGAACAGAGGCTGACAGGGAGAGAGCCCCAGGATGGTCTGAAGGAATTCTGCTGGGGTGGCTGGCCAGGGAGAGCTGGGGCTGCAGGCAGGGACCATCCTGTGTGCCAGGGAGCCAAGGCTGAGCTCAGGGACACAACAGCCAGCGGGAACGAGGGACTGCTCTGCACAGGACAAGGCAACCGAGGCTCAGGGCAGGCTTCCCCTAAGCAATCAAAATGCTTCAAGCTGTTTATTTGGGTCGTTTTGAGCACTTTCTCCCCTATTTTTCTAGGTCTATCCTTAAACATACTAGTTCATTCAGTAAGTTTTTTCTTGTGAAGATTTATATTCTTAAATACAGTGTCCCTTCCGTTTCACACCTTCCTGCTATTACTAATTGGGTGGAGTAGGATTTGCAGGAGTAAGGACAGTCTTCCCTTAAATTTTGTGCTCTCCTCGGGGAAGGCATCATGTTGCGTAACGGTGCAAACAAAATAATTCAACGAGCAGAATACATGTCGAAACTGGAAACGCCGAGTTATTACTTTATATAAACTGTGGCAATTATTCCTGTTGAGTTGACAGCAGATCACCTTTTCTTCCTTCCTTGACACTTATCCAAATGCAACAACAAGATGTTCTGCTTAGGAAGAGCAATGATTTATAATTGAACTTTCCTACTGGAACAGGACACGCACGGTGAGATGTCTCCAGCAGTGTCCGTCACTGGAACTGCGATGAACAGGGCTCTGAGGGGAGCCTGCTGAGCTCTCAGCCTGAGAACTCCCCTGAGCTTTCCAGAGCTTTTATTGCTCAAGTTCATGTACTCACTGAAATATTACACTTCATGTGGTTAGCAAAGTCAGGAAGAAGCAGTGTGGGAGACTTTCATTTCACAGGAGACAGTACTTGGTTTTTAAAATAGACCAGTCTTAGATCTCACTTGCAAATTATTGGTTTTCAAATCTAAGCTGAGATACCCACAACACAAAAAAAATATTTTTGCTTGGCATTTCTGGAAATGCTGAGCACTCACCTGTGTCTCCATCTGCACGAGGGCCCTGAGCTCCATGAGGGCTGTTTGGAGTAGGGAGAGGAGCCAACCCTGCCCCTCCATACCCCATTTCACTGGCTAATGACAGAAGAGCAGCACAAATAATTGTGGAGCTTTTTTATGCTTAAACTCGGGGCTTTTTTTAAACTTAAAAGTACTGTGAAATACTTTGTTTTGCCTTGAAGGTTTTATCATTTGTTAAATATAAATAAAATCTGGAATGTTCATTTAATTCAAATTTTTTAACTTTTCCTTGGTATGAAAAAGCAGATCCAAATACCTGATGAGTTAACATTAATTCACATGTATTTGACATATATTCATTGCTCTGATGTTATATTATTTTAGTAAATCAAAAATTTGACAGAAAAATTGTTCACAGTTCTGGGCACTATGAGAGACCTGCTTTGTGGGCCTTTCTAGCCAGAGCATGCTCCCTACCTTTTCAAAGGAAAAGGGGTCTGAAAAGAAAGAAGGAGGTTCCTGCAAGATCCCAGGTGTGGACAGACCCCTTCAGAAGGATGATGTAGGGGATTTCCTACATTTCCAAGGATTTCCCCTTGGTTCCCTTCTCTTAAGGGGCAACAATTCTTCCCTGCTCAGTGAGATCCTTTCCTCATTCAAACACTCCCCTGGGCTGAATAAGGTGAGGAAGCACGTGAGGCTGTTACCAGACCTGTTTATCTCCCCCCGGGACAAATAAGAAGCAGTGGGAGAACAGTGTGGACCATAAATGAGGCAGTGAGCCTTTGGCCACTGCAGGTTTGTGTCATGGCACTGACAGCCAGCAAGCCTGACCTCAGTCAATAATGTCATACTGGTAAAAATGAATTCTTTATGTCCTTTACCTTTGTTTTGAACTGAATACCAAGTAAACAAATCCTGTGGGAGCAGACAGTGTTTGGAAGGATCTGAACAGCCTATTGGATACATTTCTTAGATGTGCCTACATGAGGTGGCCAGAGTCCCAGTGTCTATTTTGATGTTTCTTCTCCTATTGAAGAAATAACTGGCATTAACAGATACCTCATTTTTAGTTGCTTTTCATTGGGGATTTGCATCTTCACTCTGGTAACCAGTCACTGCTCACGGGATCATTAGTCTTTTGGCTGGAGCAATGATGAATATTTTCCTTAAGTGTGACACGTAATCCAGTAATGTTCCCTTCTTTGAGTTATTTCAGAGGCTTAAATAAATTAGGTGTCTGCCCAGGGTGCCGTGGCCTTTGGCCTGTGACATCATTAATCAAAAGAGCTTTCAATTGGTTACAGTAGGACTGGGGGCCCATTAACCCCTTGGTGCCTCAGTGTTCAGTGTTTTCCTTGGAGCACAGGATCCCCCTGTGTAACCCTGCCCCTGGCAGTGTGGGACTGCAATCCTTGGCATGGCACTTCTGTCAGTGCCCACGGGGGCTGCAGTGCTTGACAGGAACTCCGTTACTCTGCAGAATTTTCTTTAAGAAGTGCAGACAAAGTTCAGACCATGAAGTAAAGCTCCTGAGAACTTCAGGCAGCCTCTTTTCAGGTGTTGCAGAGGGCAATAGTTTGGATTTTCAGAGAGAAATTTTCTCTATCTGTGTGTATATATGTGTGTGTGTACGTTAGATATATATTATATATATAAAATTTAGAATTTAATCTGTAGATATAAACCCCATAAGTTCATAGTACCTAGTACTGCCTTCTGTAAGTGGATGGACTCTCAGGATTTGACATTCACACTCCTAAACACTTTATCACTTCTACTCCAGTCAGCATTTTCATTTATTCTCTTGGTGCTTGGACTGGAACCTACCTCGGGATGGTAATTTTCCTAACAGACTATTTACTTCTCAAACAATTTTACTTTTTCCTTGATCAGCTCAGCTGTGGTTCCCAACCCTTGCTTCTGGCTGGCTATGAAGATGGATCAGTGGTCCTCTGGAATGTGACAATGGGAAAAGTGTTGAGCCAACTCATTTGCCACCAGGAGCCAGTGATGAGCCTCGACTTTGACTCGGAGAGGACCAAGGGGATCTCGGGCTCATCTGAAAAGGTGCTTTGCATCTGGAGCCTCAATGAGCAACAGAACCTCCAGGTCAGCATCACTGGCCCTCTAGTGTCATTTATCCCACTCTGCACTAACGGTTTGATAGACTAAAAAAATATTTAGTCATGAAGAGGAGTTGTTGCAGATCTCTAGCTAATTAATCACAGACTGGTTAGAATGTCTGTGCTATGTGACCAGACTTAGCAAAAGATGGTGAGGATTTAGAAAAAAAAGAAAAAAACCCCTCTCTCACATGTTTCTGGTTTTACCAAAGTTGCAACAGGCACACAGGCCTAGCATTACTCAAGCCATTGCCTCTGTATCTTCATTTATCATGTTAGTAGTATCGAGCTCTCGGAATGCCCTAAACATTATAAATGAGTTACAAAAATGAGAAACAAAGGATTGCTTTTCCAAAGGTTCTGCTTGAATGGCTAGAGCTTTCTTTCCACTGTGGGAAAGACAGAAGTATTCTATGAAATACTTCACAGAAAAAAGAGTAGGAGTAGCCCAAGAGGCACCAAGAGGACAAGAGGCTCAGGCAGCCACCTTCCTTTGGCACCTACGGAGCCCCACAGAGACACAACATCAGGCAGTTGGTGCACAAGTTTGTGCCCAGTGACACACCTGGAGAGGCTGGTTTAGGAGGAGACACCAGTTCAGTGGATGGCCATAAACACTGCTGGTATCTAGACAACCTTAGCAGGTGATCCAGCAGTGCCAAGGGGGAAGCGGGATTTACCCAGGTGTGGAAATGAAGCGCATAAATAAAGGCTCATGAACATTAAAACTGCCAAAGCATCCCTCTTTAAAGTGGCAGTTGTCCCATGAACAAGGGGAAGGACCCTGTGTGCCCCACACCATCCTGGAGAAGAGAGCTGTGGATGCACCAGTTCATGGGAGAACAGTAATGGCTGTTCCAGCCACGTTGCAGCTTTTATGGAGATTTTTGTAGGTAATGCAGCAAGTTAGTGCTGTTTTCTGAATGGTGCTACAGGAAAAAAAGCACATGCTGGGCCATCCAGCATTGACTCGTCACCAAGGGGTCACTACAAAGGTGTGGAATCTGCAAGGCATCCCCACAGAGCCAGCTGCTGGGGCAGAGCGTGTGGGACAGTGTGGGGACACGGCCCCGGCCCAGCAGGGTCTGAGCTGCACTGAACCTGCAGCACAGCAGGGAATGGGGCACTGGAACAGGCAGGGAAGGTGTTCTGAGACACAAGGCTGGGGCACAGTTGCCATGGTTTGGGTTTGTTGGGTTTTTTGGTGATCTCTGCCCAGCCTTTCTGCCACTGCTGTCACCATCTGCACGTGGTGTCCTTAGCTCAGGGAAGGGGAAGGAAGGTGAGCAATCCCAGTAAGAAGCTTGGTATTGAGACTAGTTCTCTAAGGCGAAGGTGTCAGGAATCTGACACCAAGACAGCCTTCTTAAAGCTTCAAATACTCTGGTGCTGGAGAGGAGGTCGTTCCTTCATATTAATTATAGCATAACTTTTTCCTAATTCAAAGGAAATATTGTTCTTCACAGCACATTCCAGTTATGAGTTAACCCTAATGGAGGGCTACAGGTACAACTCATGGGAAAAGCAGTTGTTCACCTGAAATGTTCCAGGTATTGTTTTTCATCAGGTATTCACATTCCCAGGAGATGCAGGTTTAGCTACACCCTCAGCAGCTCACACAGAGATAGTAGCTTTTCTCAGACGAAATTTAAATGTCAAGTATTATAAGCTCCAAGCAATGTTCCTGTGCTCCATGCGAGTATGAATGCCCTAATAAAATGCATCTTTCATAGGAGAACTAGAGATTGTCAAGGACATAGATTAAGTTTTTTTCCACTATTGCATTAATAATATAAACCAGATGGGGATTTTTTTCCCTGACATTCCAGGTACCTGAGGTAATGGTAGACGTTGGAAAGCCACTCAGTGGCACATTATTTTTATTCTAAGAGGTTTTAATAAGTGAACGCGGGGCAGAGCTATCTGCCGGTGCAGAAATAATGATGCAATGATGGTGCTCAGCTCTGTTTGAAGTGGCAATGTTCCAGTGTGTCAATGAGGAGATGATGAAGGTAACTGCACAGTTTATTGCTATGGGGAAAGTTTGGGGTATTGTCTTCTACAGGAAAGTTGCTGAAATCATCACTGTCAGCAAATGCCGGCATTGGTTATGAGCCTTCTGATTTGGAGGAGATAGTGTAATTATGTGATGATGTTTGTGGTAGAATGTAGGAGGTAAACAGCTTCTGCAGGTGAATAAACAAAGCAGAACTAAGAAATCTGATAACCACAGAAGCTCCTTTATATATGACAAGAAAAAAAGTTCTATAAGATGTAACGTAAGTTTTGTTAGTTTGGTTGCTGAGGCTTTTCCCCCCAAACACTAAAGCTTAGGCTGCTGCTATTTGGCTATTTTTCTAATAAGCAGAGGGCTTAAAGACATGCTTTGGGTGTAGATGCAGGTGTCCTTGGGCATGACTGGCTGAAAGCAGCTCACCTGTTTTTACCTCTTTGTTTTCTTAATTACAAGCTGGTTTTCTGGTTAGGGAGTGATGTTGGTATGCGTTAGACTACTGTAGTTAGGGACTTAGTGTAGTAAGTCCCTGGATGGCACAAATGCTGGCACTAGGATTTCACCTGGCTGCATATACCTTGAGCAAGGTGTTGCTTTGCTCCTGTGTTTGCAGATCATGCACAAATGCCCCCTGTTCCTCCTGCTGCACAGCCACAGGCAGGGCCATGCCAGGCTCCGTTCAAGCCGTGGCTTGCTGAGTGCTGTGTCTCCCTGGTGCTCTGTGGATCGTGCCCAGGAACTGCCAGGAAGGATGGCAGCACCACACCTGGGCCTGGCTGCAGCCATTAGCCAACAATCCCAGAGCAAGGCCCAGCTGGCACTGCCAGGCTGGTGAGGGAAGGAACAAATCCTTCCTTCCCAGGACACTTAGGCCCACAGAAATTCCACTGAGGCCGTGCTGCATGAGCCTAACCTGGGGGGCTTGGAACACAAGCACTAACCAAACACAGGTTTGACAGTGGCAGCCCCACAAAAAGGCCCACATACAGCCTCCTGCTGCTCATTAGGCTTGAGCAAAACTTGCTGTCCTCTTCTGAATTGGTTGGAGACACATTCTTCAGGTTCTCTTTAAAAGAGGAATGTGTGGAGCAAGTAAGAAGCATGTCAAGTTTCATTTAGCCTTTTTTCTCATCAAACTGCACACTTCTGTTTGAGTATGTAGGTAGGGCAGTTGTTACACAGTTGAAAAATAATTGCTTATGGCTTTGTGTCTGTAAGATTCCAGATATGTTCAACTGCATCTGAAACTAACTTTGACCAACATTTCTGGAGTTTTCTATGCCCAGTGTAAAGGTTAAAGTTATCTGCAGTTAATTTGTTCTCTGTAATCCTGTACTAACTGTGTATTGTGGAATGTCCTTCAAGGGGGAAAGCTGCTCCCATGGAATGTGCTTGTCAATCCCTTCCCACCTGAGACAAACAGCAAACACCAACAGTGTATTAAAACAGGCACTGGAGGATATTGGGCTTTAGCACAAGACAGCTCCAGACTCGGGCTTAAGTAGACAGACAGTGACAAAACAAACACATCGTTTCCACCTGTGCTGATAAATAACTGTGGTTCTGGGCCAGGGTCACACCACAGGTGCCTTTGCCACTGTGACAAGAGCTGGGCTGTTCCAACACACACACACGGGTGCACATTCTGTGTGTGTCTCAGAGCCAGTGCTCACTGATACAAGTTACCTGAGGGGAGAGCAGCAAACGTATTATATTAAGCTTTTTTTCTGTGCTTCAAGAGAAACTTGTGTCAGTGAAGTGAAAACTTTTCTTTCCAAGGGCTAAGTCCTCTGCAGCCCCAGTGCCTCCTGAAGGAAGCCCAGTGCCTTCCAGTGTAATTGTGCCCCTCAGAAACTTGTTCCCCAGTAGACTCCAAACAGCAACAAAAGGCTCCCAAGATTGAAATCAATAACTTGGTCCTAATCCCCTTCTTGGAATTTGGTGTAAATAAAAGTCTCTTGAGGAGTACTAGAAATACAGATTTCCTGACACTGTAACCCAATTCCTGGAAACATTCCTTTCTCAAGACTGAGGTAGATGCTATAACAGCTTATTGGGGGTTTTCTGGGGGGCCACAGTAGTAGAAATGAGTAGCAGGTACTCATCAGCTCCAAATCTCAGCCTGGGAATATTGCAGAAGCAGGGAAAATATATGGCCTTATCTCTGAACATTGCAGCTCATGCAAGAATAGCTGGAAGAAAAGGGCACAGCTGTGTAGTCTGGTGCTCAAAACCTTGACTCAGAGCTTTACTTCAGACAGAATATAAATTTCAATGCAAAATAAACTAAAAACATAAAGGGTTTATTTTTAGACAATGGTGCTGGAGGTGGGAAGGCTCAAGGTAAAGGTGTTTTCCATCTCTGTCTACAGTTGTTCTCCCTAAACACCATCCCCCCGTGGTGAAAAGCTCCACACTGTGTGTGACACGGGTGTGTATGGGTGGGCACTACACCTGCTAAGGTGCCAAAAGGTTCTTTCTCTTCTGTTTTGAACAATTGGAACTCAGCTGTGACTTTTTCACCCAGGTTTACAAAACACATGAACTTGTCAACGCTGGCATATCTGACATCACCATCCGTCCAGACAAGAAGATTTTAGCAACAGCAGGGTGGGATCATCGCATCAGGATCTTTGGCTGGAAAAAACTGAAGCCCTTAGCAGTGCTGGACTATCACACAGCAACTGTCCACTGTGTGTCCTTCTCGGACCACAGGAACCCCCGTGAGAGGCTGCTGGCAGCCGGCTCCAAGGACCAGCGCATCAGCCTCTGGTCACTGTACACCCAGAGCTGACACTGCACCAGCGGGGACTGGGGCAGCACTCCTGACACTGGAACTCAAACCTGCATGGAGGGACCTCAGAGCATCTGTCTCCAGGCTGAAGTGAGAGTCCCAGGTTAATTCATAATGCTGCCTGTTTAAGCTGCAAATTTTGTTTTCCAGAGAAGGACTTTTAAAATCCATAACAAGCAGAAAAAGGCCAGTCACAAACAAAGACACGGAACCAAGTTGCTTTGGGTTCTGCTACAGGTTTTGCAACAGCTTTTCTTTGGCAGGTTGCTGAAATAACTTGTGCCATTATCTCTTGTGAAAAAGGACTGGAATCCCTCAAACTGTGGTGGGGGCAGAGTACATCTGTTTGTAAGCCATTTATGTAACCAAGAATTTGAATCAGTGCAAAATATCACTCTTTCTTGAAAATTTATACCCATTAAACCACCTCCAGTGGTTTCTCATTGTCAGTTACTTTTTCTTCCCTGTAACTGAAAGGCTATCAGAACAACCTTGATTTGTTCACACTTCTGTCAAGTTTCTAACTTAAACCAACAGCCAGGAATGTGACTAGGGACGGCCTTTGGCACTTATGAATTTCATTATGTCTCCTGTCACCTCAAGCCTCACAATTAATCACAAGAAAGAAGGGGAAAAATCTTCCCCTGCACTGCACTGCAAAGCTTTGCAAAGCCCTTTCCAGAGCAGTGCTAAATCCTTCCCATAGACCGACGAGCTGAAGGATTTGAACTCAGCAATCCAATTAGCACCCTTCTCCTTGGAGAGTTCGGGGTAGGTTTCAGCATGGCAAGTCTGAGATTCAGCCACACAGCTCTCATTAACATGTAGGGGAAGTGGTGGGGTAAATCCCTACCCACACGGTGCAAATGGCTCCGTTAACTTGTCATCTCTAGGGTTGTGGAAGCTAAAGTTCATTCATGGAGGGTTTTTTGTTTGACTCATGAAGCAGCATTTGCATTCTTCTGAGGCATTTTAGACACCCCCCCCCCGTGTGTTCAGAGCCACAGTACTGCTGGATTGGGTCACAAAGCTGCAGTGGCAACTGTGTCCAGGCTGGGCACTGTTGATACTTATTGGAAATAATTGTTTCTGCACTATAAAGACCTGGAAATCAAAGAAAAAGGCACCAAAAGTGCAGTGAACAGCAACATCAAAGACTTTAGAAATTATTTCAGGACAAACACACATGGAAATTAAGGTCTGGGTCTGTTACCCAGCTGTGCTTTGCAGGCAGAGAATACTGCTGGACTGAAAGCCTTAAGCACCCAGCCTGGTGTTCTTTCCATTAAAACAGAATCAGGATACTGTTGCCAGGCTTTTCTAAATAAAATGTGGCCTTACACATTTTGGAGTGTAATGACAGTTTAAATAATGCATTTCTTTGATTATTTCTTTACTATTCAGTAGCTGCATGGAGGATCACATTGCAGTTGAAAGTTAAAGCCTAATTTTGAGTGATCCCAAGTCAAGGGGAGGTGATGGTGTTCATTACATCTACCAGACAGAGTTGCACAAATGCTCCACCTCCACCCCTCATCCCCTCCCACACGGAGGAGGAGCTGCTCCCACTGCACACGCGGCTCCAGCCTATGGAATGAGGGGCCATCTCCACAAAGCTGCTGCTGGAAGAGACCTTTCCTTTTGTTCTTTTCCCCCTTTCTTAAATAAGTCAGAACTGACAAAGAAACAATGCAGTGAATAACTAGAGAAAGCACTGCTGAGTGTGGTCCAGGGACCCGTCCCAGGGAGTTGGCAAAGCTCCCACGGGGCTGTCCTGTCAGGACACACCACACTGGCCTGGGGGGGCCAGGGGGTGCAAGAGTTCCTGTCCAGCCTGCACTGCTGGGCAATGCCCAGTGCCTGCAGGGTTACTGCTCATCCAGCAGGAAAGGAGTCTGGGGCTCGCCCACCTTGGGCAATGGTTACTGCAGGAAATGAGAAGAGCCTGGTCCTGGCAGAGCAGTAGTTCATCCTTTGGACAGGAAGGCTCTGTGCCACAGAGCGCATGAGAACGTGGGGAAGGTGGTTTCCAGACCGACTGATGCAAACCTGCAGCACTTGGGGCAGCTCCACGCTCAGCACACCCTTGTTCTGAGTGCCAGTGAGGAGCACCTGATGCTCCAGGGACACTGAGGTGCCAAGGCGTGGCTCCTGCTCCTGGCACGGCTGGCTCACCGCCACCCCTGCAGCTCGAGCCCTCGGGCCCCAGAGCAGAGACCTCTGCACCTTACAGCCACTCAGCCAACAACTGCTGATCAAACACTGCACTGGCACAGCGGCAGCCCCCTGGCAAGAAAGGATTAATACCCCGTGCCTCAATAGAAGCACTATTAGATCAGAGCCTGAAAGCCAGGAATTCTGGAGTATACTATTTTCCCTAAAAAATGCCATTTACTGTCAATGTCTGTGTCTAAAGTCATTGTGGAGACTCATAAGGGATGTTTAGATTTACAAATAGGTCCTTTGGAAAATACTCTTAAAGATGAGTATGTGCTGCCACATCTAACACTGCCTTTTGCTGGGAGTTAAATATTTATATTTGTCTGATTAGGTAGAGTTAAAAATAAACTTAGTCATGCAAGTACAAATTGAAAATGAGGGCATGAACTGCATCTCACTACCAGGCAGACACAGAGGTAAAGAATTTCATCAGCTTCAAGAGGAAGGACACAGGTTGCAGAGCTGCTTGCAAGAACAGACCCATCCTATACTTCCCATTACCAAAGCACTATCCAGCTCATACTTTTGCACAATACAGTTAATTCATTAACACTTTACATCACTAGTGATTTTATTTAAACACCCAATAAACAGATTTCTCTTTCACATTATAGTTTCCTTGAAATGAGCAACCAGACTACATTAGTTTGATTTAGAGTTGAGCCTAAATACCATTGTTGGATTGTGAATTAGTCTTCTAAAATTTTATATCCTTAAGGAACTAACCTGGACTTCCCCAAAGAAGAATGATTTCCAACAGGAAGGACAGTCTATATTGCTATAGACTGTAAAACACAGTTGTCTGAGTATAATTGTAAAATACAGTTGTCTGATTGCATCTATTAAAGTAACAACTTTTTTAATTAAAAAAAATAATTTACAGCTCATTACAATTGTGCCATGAGCATGGTTATCACCCGAGATTTCAGCTGACTTGCTTAGCAGGAAGGCTGTGAGTGAAGAGCCACCTTAAGCTGCTGGAGTGAGTTCTGGAATCTCACCTGCCAGTAAGGAACAGGGCTAGCCTGTACCTGGTCTAAAGGATTCAGGAGTGAAGGTGATGACAGCTAAATTATTACAAAAGGCTTCCTCCCAAGAATCACTGTCTTTGGCACTGTGAGAGGAAGAAAGCAACCAGCATTCGTAAACTAACAGAAATAAATCCCAAACACCAGCATTTGTACAGCCATTACATGGAATATTTATCACCACTGGAATGAATGGTGATCTCTGACCCTCTAACATTATTTGCAAATGAACCCATTAGTTAAACCCCTTTCTCTTATCAGTACATGAGCCATAAAGCATTGCAGTCCTAAGTGTAGATGAGCAAGGAAAGAGGAGATTAATTGTATTTGTAGTAATGAGTGAAAAAGGAAGCAGGCTGGGGACCTGCAATGAGACAGTTGTTAAATTTAGCCTTATGCAATGCAATTGCTTCAGCAAGCCAATAAATTATTCTCTGCAGCTTGACTTGGATTGTTGCAAAGGTTTGAGTTTAAAAGAGCAGATTTTTATAGTTAAGTTAATACTGGTTTCTGGACTGCTTTTTGTTTTTAGCACGTTTAAGATGCATCTACAAAGCCAACTTACAAATTAATAAATCTTCCCTTTAATTCAGTCTGCCAAGAACAAAGATAGAACACTGACTACTGCAGGAGCCATGTTAGTGATGTAAACCAAAGGAGTGGGGATTAACCAAGGATTACCGAGCGCTAAATCAATGTGTTTCCTTTTCTGGCTGTGTGTCTGTGGTGTGGATCATTACTTAAAACATGGCACAGGACTGCCTGGATGATACCAGACACTGTTCCAGCAGTGCTGGGACACACACACAGCTGGATGTGGAAGCACCACCACTGTGCTCCCAAGGCAGTGACAGCGCTGACTAAAGCAGAAGGCACGGGGGGTTCTGTTGCTCTCCAGTATCCTGAAATTCCAGCCTGGGTCCCCCTACTACAGTAGTTTTTCCAAGTAAACTGGACTGTGTTTATCCATGTCCTACTCTTCTGGGGCATGCTGGAGGGTTCCTTTATAACATGAAGAAAACTATCCAGAATTAAGATCATACTGGGGGATTTTGGCAGCTGTCACAGTATTAAATTAAATGAAAACATAATGAAAACATAATCTCTTAGCTGTGAATGTTTTGCTCACCTGATTATTGGTATGAACAATATCTGTATGTCCTGTCAGCAGTGCTATGCACTGCTTTATTCTGACTTACCTCAGAGGAATTTAATTTGCAGTTTGGTATTAGAAGAGGAGGAGAAAGGGGAATGAGGGTGTAAATCAAAACAAAGAAGCAACCCGTCCCTCTGAGTTCAGTGATATGAAGATTCTGGAAAGCACAAAGGGCCTTGGAGCAAACCACCTCCAGCAGTGGCCAGATTCCTAATGGGAAAAAGACAAGGATGGCAGGAATAGTGGAACCCTACAGTGATAGGTCTGTCTTTTGAAACTTGTACACCAGCTCATTTCAGTTTCAGAAGTATTTGCTTTTAATTCTCCAGCATCCTTTTTAAAGGTGTTGGAACATAGGAAATCCTCTAAAACACAGCCTACACCTCTAAATAAGGCTGTGTTCACCCAGAGGAGTGTGGACTTATTTCTCTGCTATGAAGAGTCATAACACCAGAGGCTGCAATGCCACAGGGGACAGCACTGGGAGGGACTGAGGTCCTGAAGCAGCCACATGCACTGCAGAACCATCCCAGAGCAGTATTAACTATCTTCTTACAGAAGAGTGACATGACAGTGAAAAAAAAATTAATTCTAGCAATTATATGTTGCAAATTGAAGTTCTAATAATAAAAAAAAAAAGGGAAGAAAAAAAGCTGTTACATTACACTGAGATTACAGCTAGATGCTGTTTTCTCCTAGTTTTTATTCCCAGGATACATAAATGAGGGCAGTGAAAAGCTATAGAAACCCTTTGGTGCTTTCTGGACAGCAATGAGCTCCCTTTCCTGCCAGCAGCAGGGTTGACTGATCCAGACTATGTCCAGATCAGGGAACCTAGGGAGGATGCTAAAATGCTGGCTGTTATTCCGCTCCATAGCTCTGGCATCCCATGCAAGCCAAAGTACATTTTCCAGGCACCCACTGCTTGCTATAAACACATCCTGGCCCAGGTAAGAAGAAAGCGGGTGTGCTGGGCCTATGGAATAACTTTAAACATGGCAGAGAATGTGGCCATGGCATTTGTCCTGATGGGAATTCCAAACCTGCCGATACGAGATCCCAGTGATTCATGGATGCATTGTCTCTGTGAAGGAAAAGGGTCCGGGCTGCTCTCACCAGAACACTGAGGGTAAGAATTGTCTGCTCAGATGGTTTTGCCTCAGATATTTTGATGGCATGCAGACCTGGCATCCTGCTAAATTGAGACATTGAGTCTTTATAGTTTTATCTCTTGAGCCCATCTGGTTTGAAGCAGTTGACAACAAGCAGGAAAGGGAACAGAATGAAAGACTCACTTTATGTTTGCTGAAATAAAAGCAATGTGTAAGGCAGTGCTCAGTGAGGGGCCGCTGCACTCACCCCTCACCACCCTGTGCCCTGCTCAGAGGGTTGGGACAGGACAGCTCTGCTGCAGCCCCTGCCCTCCCTCCCTCGGGGCAGCTCACCCCACAGCCCTGCTCTGCTGGGGCAGCTCACCCCACAGCCCTGCTCTGCTGGGGCAGCTCACCCCACAGCCCTGCTCTGCTGG